TGCTTTCAGCACCTGGGCTCGAATCTTAGCTCTGGCATTTAGTTCATATGTAACCTTGGACAAGCTATTTAATCTCACTGAGACGTGGGGTTCCTTACTTATAAAGTGGGGCAAATCTCATGTATAGAGTTGTGGTGATTAAGTGGAAAAAGGAAGGGAATATAAAGCCGTTAGCACTCAGGCACTCAGAACCTCATTCAAACTTATTTCTCTCTTTTATGTTTCCTTCTCTCTAAAACGATCTGAATTTTCCTTCTTTTTTTTCACCTCCCTCAAAGACACACAAGCAGATTTTCTCCTCTCTGAGGTCATGATCATTGTAGGGACAGTTTAATCCATACAGGTTTCCTTCCCAAACAGGCTTTTCTATAGAGCAGTTATATAGCAAGAGACCAGCATGTGAGATAAAAATAATTAACCATCCTGAAAATGAAAAACTATCTGCCTTCAAGGCATTTAGACTGAAAATAAGCATTCCTGAAGCCTTTTGTTAGACACTTCATAAAAATTGTTAGGTGCACTGATTGGTCCCCTCCAGAGCCAAACAGGCACAGAAGCCTGGGGGCCTTCTTGCCGATTTCCGAGGAGTTTACAAGCCTGTGATGTTAGAGACTATTTCTTCCAGGAGAAATTTTTTCTTCATGCTTGGATGAAGGGATAAAGAAGTATGAAGAGGTTTTAATGTGTTATTTGCCTTGGATTAATGGATATTTGTATTTAACTTTAGAATCTTTAAAATGACAGCTCACAAGTGTTATTTTTAAAAGTTCTTCCTTTTCACAATATATTGAAAAAGTCCCAGATGGGATTTGGACATGGCTTTAACTAATCATGGTAGCAGGCAGTAGACTCAATTCCCGAATAAACTGCATATTATAGCAAATCCAAGTGAAAGACTTAAATCCTTTATCAGAGCCAGGTGGTGGTGACATGCTTTGAGGGAACTCTGGCCCTAAATCTCTCCCCTACTTGCCTGAGAATTTACTACTAGCCATTTAGGAATTATTTTTGAAAATAATAATATTCTAGAGTGATATGTCATTTCAAGTTTATTGTTAGCTGATAGCAAAGGAAGAAGAAAGGCCAGTGGTGAGGTGAAGGGATTTATTACCAGCTGTGGAAGAAGAGAGGGGAGTGAAAGAAATACTGGTCCTCAGAGGGTAGCTACAGGAGTTTTACACCAAAAAGATGGAGTTCACTGTCCCAAGACTACCTCTGACTCTAGAATGTGCAACTGACCTTAGGCCCTACATATCTAAAGACACAATAACATTAAGTAGCTGATGAACCCATCCTCATAAATAAACCCTCAAGATGCTTTTGGAAAGTAACAAAGGGAAAGGAAAAGAGAAAAACAATGCAAGACAGTGTAGGAGTACGTTCTCTCCAACATTTCTGAGAGAAGATGGGAGTTGAAAGCCTCAAACAAAATGTTGCCTCAATCTCACTTGGCTAATTTTAGGTACCTTGGTTCATGGCTATGATTCATCCCTAAAGCTGTGAATTGCTGAGGAGGAAGGAGAAAAAAATTGACTTAAATGTCAGAGCAGTAGGAACAAAAATATAGTTTCTTTTTTGGGGAGCTAGAATTCCAGAATATGGAGATCTTTTTTCTCATGAGGAACCAAATGCTTCAAACTTCTAGAAAAGTAATTATCTCCAGTCAAAACATCATCAAGGAATAAAAGACAGCATTAATTATGAGTGATGTCATGTCTCAATTTTTGCCTTCATAGTATATTTCCCTTCTCTTCTTATGTGCCTCCTTGAAGCCTGTAACACTAGAAATCACTAACAATCGTATGTATTTGAGAATGATGGAAGCTTAATATGTAGACTGTAATGAGAGATGGAACTCCTAAAGCAGGAGAGGAAGAAATGAATGGAGACAAGCAGAACTATGAGAAATACGTCTGGGGAATGGGGTGGTAGCACAGAAAAGAAAGACCTATTAGAATGGTCAGATGTCTTGCCTGCTTAAGATGGGGGGGGGCACAACGGGGGCTTGGTAAAACCCCACCTTAGGTCAAGAGAAAGTTTTTCAATATAAGACGTGTCCCCTAGTAAACTGGCTATCATTTTGAATTTCCATATGTTTAGAGGAAGAAACTAGAAGTCACTAACTCTCACACTCTGCTCAATGACGAATTTCACTATCTGAAGTGCTGACCCTCATCAGCTTAGCCACTATCTGTGTGTTGTTCTCTTTTCGCTCTTAAAGCTTGTGAGCAGTGAAAGAAATATGTGATGACTGTAAAATTAGGGTCCAGGGCATTAAAAGAAGATATTATGTGGAAGGCAAAGTGAAAAATAAATTCCAGTGACTTCAGAGCAGATTCCTCCCAGCCCTGAAGCTCTGAGGAGAGCAGCTCCAAGGGACAATTGTGAACATGGCTTGTGCACACAACCCTCTCCTTGGCCTCCTCAGAGCACTCTCCTCCCCTTCCTTATGGCTCTGCTCCTTTCTGAATTCTTCATACCTGGATCCCTGGGTACCACTGTGAACAGCAGCAATCACTGCATCTCAACACCCAAGACCCAAAGTGTCTTTCAGCTGATTTGACAAATGCACCCCGATAGGTAAACTAATGGGATACTAAGGAGATGGATGGGATTCTGGAGATTGCAGAATCCCGCTACTTGGTGTTCATATGAGGAAACTGAGCTCCTGAAGGTCCAAGTGACTTTCTTACCCAAAATATTCCCTCTTTTGCATTTTTTGGAAGATGTCAATGCCATGGCTGTGACTATTATTGTCTCTAGTGGAGAGATACTTTAAAGTCCATAGAAAATATTTGTCAGAAGGGTCCTGAGCTACCCTCATGTCATACCACCTTGGCCCACTGCCTTTATTACATATCCAGTTCTTCTCATACTGTGTATATTTAATTTTTTGAGCTTCTGGGAGCTGTGCCAAAGTACAATGAATACCTGTTTCCATTTTTCATTTCCATGATCAATTTCTACCTTGTGTGGCAGTGTTATGGGTTGAATTGTGTTCCCCATATAGATATGTCAAAGTCCTGACTCCCAATACCTGTGAATGTGATCTTACTTGGAAATAGGGTCTTTGTAGGTTTAATCAAGTTAAGATAAGGTCACTAGGGAGGGTCCTAATCCAACGTCAGTGGTGTCATAAGAAGACAACCACATGATGACAGAGGCAGAGATCAAAAGTGCTGCAGCTACAAGCCAAGGAATGCCAAGGATAGCAGGTTACAACCAGAAGCTAGGAAGAGGCAAGAGAGGATTGTACTCTACAGGTTTCAGAAAGCGTGTGACCCTGCTGACACCTTGATTTCAAACTTCTAGTTTTCAGAACTGTGAGATGATAAATTTCTATTGTTTCAAGCCACCTAGGTCATAGTACTTTGTTATGGCAGCCTAGGATATACGGCATGCAGAAATAAAGGCAAAGAAGAGGCAACTGGAAGACAAAGGAAATGAAGATGAACTTCCTTTCTTGGCATGGTTTACTAATGTCATTGGTTATTAGTTTTTTTATTGAAATAATCCATAGTGGTTTCACATGATCCCTTGAAAAAAGAATGATGAGGGGACTCTCTCTGTCCACTTCCTTAAAATCTAATGTAATTTGCCTATTATTATTATTATTACTATTATTATTATTATTTTAAATGTATATATTGATTTCAGACAGAGGAAAGGAGGGGGAGAGAGAGAGGAACATCAATCATGAGAGAGTCATTGATCGGCTGCCTCCTGCATGTCCCCGACTGGGGATTAAGCCCACAACCCGGGCATGTGCCCTGACCAGGACTCAAACCCCGATCTCCTGGATCCTAGGTCAATGCTCAACCGCTGAGCCACACCCGGCCGGGCTAATTTGCTTTTTTTTTTTTTTAAACATATCTTTATTGATCTCAGAGAGAGGAAAGGAGAGGGAGAGAGAGAGACAGAAACATCAATGATGAGAGGGTCATTGATCGGCTGCAGCCCACAACCCGGGCATGTGCCCTGACCGGGAATCGAACCCGGATCGCCTGGATCCTAGGTCGACGCTTAACCGCCAAGCCACGCCCGGCCGGGCCTAATTTGCTTTTTAAATAAATTTCCATCGTAGAATAGTCAGCTACTTTTCAGTGTTCTAGGATACTAGTTTGTTTTCCTTTATACTGATGGCTTTGGTGTTTTTATGTTTTATTTATTATGTCTTTTAATATCCTATTTTGTAGTGTAACATAAATGCATGAATAGTTATATGTATTTCCTCAGAATATGTAATCAAAGGCCCTTAACAAACGTGAATTATCTGTAATATATTTTTCAGGTCCAAATGATGAGCTATGTGATGCTGTGTTCCAAGCTCTAATTTACTCTCCACAAATAAAATTAAAAATCAAATATGGCCTTGCTTAAAAGAATTAATTTCAGTAGTTTATTTTGTAGACCTCTTCTCTGTTCACAAATAGCACAGGTGGAGGTAAGTATTACTTATTATCATATTTTTCAAACAAAATAATTTTAAGGTCTTACAAAATATAACATATATTGAGTGACCAAATTTAAAAATGTGTATCAAAAACCTTCACATATCGCCCCATTTTAAAACATGGGTGATAAGCTTCTCCAAGATAATCTGACCTATTATATTACACAATTATCTGAAAAAACTCAAGGGTATTTTCAGGAAGAGATCCTGCATAGATTTAGTGGTGAAACAAATGCCCAAGAGTTGGGATACACGGATTTTCTCATTGACCAGAAATCTTAATTTCTTTCAGAAGCTACTCTGGCTTATTTCAAACTCTTCGTCTTGGAGGCTGGGAGTTCAGTTTACGATCTACGCAGAGTACACCTGGATTCCCACGTCTTTGAAAGCACAGGGATATATATAAGTCAAACCCAATGTGAATCAATAGACCAGCCAATGCATCACACTGCTCCATGAGTGGAATGTTTGCTGTCCCATCTACTCTAGGAGTCACGCAATCTGATCCTAGCTGGACCACCAGAAGGATAGTGTTAGAAACACTTACTTGAGTGTGGTGAGTTCTGTGAGGGATGGCTGAGTGGCCTTGAGATAGCTTTCTCTTCGTGCAGCAACTTTGGGCGAAGGCTTGGGACTTGTGTCCGAGTCACCACTGTCTTCATCTCCCATGGCTTTAATATAGCTGCCACTCCGCATTCTTCGGCATGGAATTTCATCGTCTTTACCTCGAGGGGTATACCCTGTCCATTCATCTTGAGGAACCTATTCAGATATAAAACAGATGATTCATTTTTTATTAAACCCAATATTTTTCTTTTCTTTTTTGGGGCTATGACCCTAAAACTTTAGAAATTAACTTTTCAATAATGGTGTTTTACTGTAATTGGTTTGAAAATATTTGAAATACATAAAAAGCCATGTCTCAATCTTTAAAACAACCTGTGTATTAGAAAAAATGAAAATCCTTGGTTTTGGTTTACTTGTACTTCTCAGTTTTCATGCTGAGGATAATTGAGGCAGACATAAGAATGCCATTGGAAAGGAGATCAATTAAAAATTTTTTTTTATTGATTTCGGAGAGAGGAAGGGAGAGTGTGAGAGAGAGAGACATCAATGATGAGAGAGTCATTGATCGACTGCAGCCTGCACATCCCCTACTGGGGCTTGAGCCCGCAACCTGGGCATGTGCCCTGACCGGGAATCGAACTGCGATCTCCTGGATCATAGGTCAATGCTCAACTGCTGAGCCATACTGGCCAGGCAAGGAGATTGGTTTAATTAGAGTTTTTCAATTTTTTTGTATTCAATTGTCATTTAAAATTCAAAAATCTTTTGTTTTGTTGACACCTTCCCTGAACTCTCCTTCTCTACTACCTTGTATCCAATCTTTCTTCTTCCTAAACCAGTGGTCTATACCATCTGCATTGGCTTCCCAATCATTTGTTCTTTCTGAACCCTCTTAATTTGGATTCAGCCTCCATAGGTCTGCTTAAAGCACACTTCAAAGGTTACCGATGATCTCCTCATGAAAGCTAGTGGCATTCTCTTATTTTAAATTATTCTTGACTTCTACACACGCGCACACACACATACCACCACGACCACGACCACAACCACGACCTCTTAAAGAGTTTCTGTACTTACCTGACATAGCTACTACTGTACTTATCCGCGTTTTTCTTTTCCTCTTGCCTTGCTGGATCCTAGTCTATGTCTCTAATTGTAGGTCCCACACAAGATAATGTTTTCAGTAAATTGCTTGTTTTCCTTTCCACAGCCATTTCCTTTGAGTTCAGCAGAGCACTACACTATACTATAGAGAGTTTCCTTGTGACTTTTCTTCAGTTCCTCTTAGACTTTGCACTTCAACATGGACTCAACCTAGGTTCTCATTCCTACTCCACTTGGTAAAAGAAATGCATAATTACCACTCTCCATACACATTAAGGAGTAACGGCTCACAGTGCACAGGGCTTAATTTAAAAAGATGGGAGAGTCTGGTTCTTGCCCTCAACATGCTTATAGCAGAGATGAGAAGACAAAGTATAAATAAATTTGAGAACAGTTCCAAGTCAGCATGTTGGCAAGTTTAAGATATGGTGCCATGAATGAAACTGGTCCAATTTTCAATGAGAAGTTAAAAAGGTATTTAATATTTTGATGCTAACCACTTACTGATTATCCATTAGATAATACAGTGCTTCACCACTAACATTTAACTATGCTAAACAATTTGTTTATAGGATCTTATTTCACCAACACCACAACTCAGTGCATTTTTCTGCATTTCTCAGATGAGAAGAAGGAGCTCAGATAGCTTAAGAAATTTGCCAAAGAATGCATAGCTACTAAATGGCAGCACTGGGATTTAAAGCATTTTGGTTTAACGTCAAAGATCAGAATTTACTTATTCCCAACATATGAATCTTAACCTTTATGTGTTAAAAAAATTGTCTACAATGTTACATACACGTTATATACATCGATTTCTAAATGTTATAGGTTCTAAGAAGAGAGAATAGATGTTCCACTAAAAAAAACCCACCACACTATTTTTTGTCCCTTAAATTATAAATTTGCCTATATAATTTGAAAGCTTATGTCTAGAAACATCAGATTGAAGAGTTGTTACTATTCATGGACCTGGAAACAGTTGTTTATAGATTCTAATCTTGAAAAGTACTAATAAAGTTTGATTAAGTTTCACTGTGCAGTTTGTTTACTTTATTAAACAAATACTTAAATCATGCTTTCTATGTGCAGGCACTGTTCTAAATGTTTTATAAATGTTAACTCATTGGACCCACATAGCTGAAGGGTAGTATTATTATTATCTCCATTTTATCTCCAGTATTATTATTATCTCCAAATAAGGAGACTGAGGTTATGTAACTGGCCCAAAGTCCCAGCTCTGAAGGGTGGGGTTCCAAACCAGCAGCTCCTGGGGCCTTGCTGCTGACACTATTTGATGCTATCTCTCTAGGCTTTGATCAGTAGTACTTATGGAACCGAATAATTATGGTCCTGTGACACCTTCGTAACCCATCACATCTGATGCATTTGGCATTTATTAAATTATGGTAGTAACAATGTAGAGTTTTTACTTTTTTAGCTAAAAAGCATCAGTGTCACCATAGCAACAAGAAAGATTCTTAGGAAAATTATAAATGTCGAGAACAGTCTTGTTTTCCTTCAATTGGCAGATGACTCACTGCAAAGATATGATCATGTTCAGAACCTCATTATTGGCTTAGAAATTACATTTTACAAATTAAGTTAGTACAGCTGAGGGTCATAGATGATGCATACGACATTGCCGTTTCTCAGTACTGATGCACAGTTCATAGGCATTACTCTCTAGAACACGTCAGAGACTAATGACAGACTTATTAGCTCATATCGCTTATGAAACAAAACATGGCAAATTTCTGTTAGGTGTTTTTCCCCCAAAACAGTTTATGGTAGAAACTTGGACTTGTGATCACTGAGAAGGGAACCAGCTGCATAGTACTTAATCTGTATATTTTTCAATTAAACATAGTTTTCAAATAACAGCAGCTAAAAAGTTCTATGTAAGTGACTTACATTGAAATGGAATTTAAAAATTGATATATTATTTATACACTTAAAGATAGCCTAGAACAAGATTGCATATAAAAATGCAGAAATCAGTTCTAGGAAAAATGTAAAGAAACAGAAAATCAAGACCTTGGAGAAGAAAAATACTGTTGCTGAAGTTTAAGGGCCAGCAAAATTGCTATAATTGTGCCTCAGTTTTTATTCTGAATCTCTTAAACTCTAAAGTAAAAGGGAAGACAATGGTCAGGTACATAGTTTTTAAAGAAAACATACAAGTTTGTAAGGTGCACAGAGCATGAAATGCTATCCCCCTTTGATTGAAAAGAAAGGAGACTCATGGCTGCAGTTGCTACTGTGATCTAGTCAAAGGCTACTGTGTCTTTCTGCTTCAGTTGATTTAGGGAAATAAAAAAAATTAATCTTGCAGCTGTCTGAGAAAGACTTCATTATTACTTGTCCTACTGGTTTGAAGAGATGAAAGTCTTGGTAAGAGAAGGAAGCTGGAGCAGATAGAAAAGCAGCCTGGTCACCTGATGATGACAGGTTAGCCAGCTGCCCTGCGTGTCTGTCTGCACCAGGTTAGGGAGTGGCTGGATCCAACAAGACCCAATAATAACATGAATGTAATAAAGGTTAGGTTGAACAATAGTTCTGGGTTAGAGAAACAGAGGATCTTTTGCTTTTGAATGCATATGTTTAAGCATTAAAGCTCCAACAGGGAGCTTTATTTTTGATAAAATGAAATGAGGATTAGTGTGCATTTTTCTATTTCAGGTATAGCCAGTCTATAGCTTAAACCACATGTCGTCATTCCGAAGTACAGAAGGCCTGCCTCTGACCGCGGAAAGGCTGTAACCAGTGCTATCATTCTCTAATGACAGGGTGAGGGTGTTTTATGAATTGAAACAGAGTCATGGGCACTGAGCGGTGGCCCGTTCCAATGACAGCCACGGCCTATTCAGTCACAGGAAAAGGGAAAATTGAACACAACTTAAAGAGGCGTGCTTACACTCCTAAGCCTCCCTCCCTTTCTCTCTCTTGCCTCTCTCCCCTTTTCCTTTACTCTTGCAAGTATTTTTTTGCTTGTTTATTTTCCAGGCATTGTCTGAGTGCCAGGAACACACAGCAGTGAACAGTGCAAATGCTGATCCCACGTTACTGAGCTTATGTTCTAGGAGAGCAGGAGGAGATAGGTAATAAACAAGTACACCAATAAATGAACCAGATAATTTCAGAAACCGTAACTGCCTTGAGGAGAGCTCGGGGGAGAACTGCCAGGCAGAAGGATCCGCCAGGGAGAAGGCTCTAGAGTAGGAATAAGTTTGGTGGAATCAAAGCCTAGAAAAATATGCCAGCTTGGCCAGAGGGCACTGAGCAGGAGCGGGCAGGGCCAGGCTCATAGGCTCTCCTAAGCCCACCTCGAATTTTTCTTCAAGGCTAAACTAGGCAGTCCCGAAGCTCCTTCCAACGGCTCCTGCCTAAACTGGTTCTCCTTTAAGAAACTATGGCATATACCCTCTTCATAAGGGGTCAGCAAACTATGGCTCAGAGACGAAATCCAGCATGCCATCCGTGTTTGTAAATAAAGTTTTATTGGCATACAGCCATGCCCATTCATTAGGTATTGACCATGGCTAGCTTCCAGGTACAAGGGCAGAGTTGTGATGGAGCTTGTGTGGCCCCTGACCAGATCCACATGTTAGTGGATCTGAGCTCTTAGTTTGCATAACCAGACAATGGCATTTGTACACAGTGCTTGTTTGTGTTTTCGTGTCATCTCTCCAAATACTCAGTAAACTCACTGAACTCCGGGGAAGCAGTATTGCTGAAGGGTCAGTGTATGGGCTCTGCAGTTAGACTGCTCAGGTCTGAACTCTCGCTGGGCCAGTAACGGAGCACTTTCATGGTCAAGTTAATTAGCTTGTTCGCTCACCGCCCCATCGAGCTGTTTGTAGCTTACATGAGGCGGTGCCCACAGGCGCGCAGAAGTGCTCAGTAGAGGCCTGTTATGGGGGTTCTGCACCGCTCACAGCACGCAGCACGGCACCGAGCATGCAGATGCTCCCTGATGATGAATGACACTCTTTCCAAGAAGCCTGATGCTGTGTTCAATTTTCTTTGGTAATGGAGTGGCAGAAATAACTGAAATACAGTAATCAGAAGCTTAAATTCCTAATGTATTG